ATAAAAAAAAAAAAGGAAACAATCAACAAAACTAAAGGGCAACCTATGAAATGGGAGAAGATACTTACAAATGATATACCTGACAAAGGGTTAGTATCCAAAATATATAAAGAACTTATACAACACCAAAAAAACAAATAATCCAATTTGAAAATGGGTGGAAGACATTAACAGACACTTCTCCAAAGAGGACATAGAGATGGCTAACAGACACATTGAAAGATGCTCAACATAAATAGCCATCAGGGAAATGCAAATCAAAACCACAATGCAGTATCACCTCACAATTATGAGAGTGGCTAAAATCAACAGCACAGTAAACAAGTGTTGGCAAGGATGTGGAGAAAAAGGAACCCTCTTGCATTGTTTTTAGGAATGCAAACCAGTGCAGCCACTGTGGAAACAATATGGAGATTCCTCAAAAAGCCAAAAATAGAACTACACTATGATCCAGCAATTGCACTACTGGGTATTTATCTAAAAATACAAAAACATTAATTCAAAGGGATATATGAACCCCTCTGTTTATTGGAGAATTATTTAAAATAGCCAAAATAAGGAAGCAGCCCAAATGTCCATTGACAGATTAATGGATAAAGAAGATGTGGTATATATTTACAATGGAATACTATTCAGCCATAAATAAGAATGAGATCTTGCCATTTGCAGTGACATAAATGGAGCTAAAGAGTATAATGCTAAGTGAAATAAGTCAGTTAGACAAAGATAAATACCATATGATTACACTCATGTGGAATTTAAGAAACAAATAAACAAGGGGTGCCTGGGTGGCTCAGTTAAGTGTCCGACTCTTGATTTTGACTCTGGTCATGATCTCATGCTTTGTAAGATCGAGTCCCCATCTGCTGACAGTGCAGAGCCTGCTTGGGATTCTCTCTCTCCCTCTCTCTTTGCACCCGCCCCCCACTCATGCATGTGCAAGCTCTTTCTCTCTCAAAATAAGTAAACATTTTTTAAAAAAAGAAACTAACAAATAAAATGAGCAAAGGAAAAAAAAAAACAGAAGAGAGAGAGATAAACCCAGAAAGACTCTTAACTACAGAGAACAAACTGATGGTTACCAGAGGGGAGGTGGGTGGGTGGATAGGTAAAATAGGTGATGGTGATTAAACATGCTCATCACTTGTAATGAGCACAGGGTAATGAATGGAAGTGTTGAATCACTATATTGTATACCTGAAACTAATATGACACTGTATGTTAACTATACTGGAATTTAAAATAAAATTTAAAAAACATTAAAAATAAAAAATATAAAAATATATATATTCCATGTAAATGGATATCAAAATCCTGGAGTAGCTCTACTCACATCAGAAAAAACAATATTTAAGCCAAAACTGTAACAAGAGACAAAGAATGTCATTATGTAATGATAAAAGGGTCAATCTGAAAGAATATATTACATAAATATTTATGGTCCTAAAAAACATAGAAGCACCTAAATATATAAAGCTAATATTGACAGACCTGAAGGGAGAAAAAGACAGAAATATAATAATAGTAGAAGACTTAAATACCCCATTGTCATCAATGGATAGACAGATCAAGGCAGAAAAATCAATAAGGAAAAACGACTTGAACTACACTAACACCAAATGGACTTAACAGACATTTGTAGAACATTCCATACAAGGCCTATACACATTCTTCTCAAACACACAAGGAACATTCTCCAAGGGAGACCATGTGGTAGGCCACAATACAAGTCTTACAAGAAAATTGACAATTTACAATTATGTCAGGATTAAAAAAATATGCTACTGAATAGCCAAGAGGCCAGAAAAATTAGAAAAAATTATGTTGAGACAAATGAAAATGGAAATACAACATACCAAAAATTATGGGATACAAAATATGGTATCCCATATGGGATACAGAAAAAATATTTTTAAGAGGTAAGTTAATAGTAATAAACATCTACATTAGGAAACAAGAAAGATCTCAAATAACCTAACTTCATACTTTAAGAAACTAGAAAAATAACAAATTAAAGCCCAAAATTAAGAAAAGGGGAAATAACAAAGATCAGAGCAGAAATAGAAACTAAAAAGACAACAGAAAAGATCAATGAAACTGAAAATAGAGGGCTTTTAAAGTGGTAAAAAATATATATACAAATCTTTAGCTAGATTTACCAAGAAAAAAAGGCCCAAATTAATAAAATTTGAAATGAAAGAGGAGACATTTCAACTGCTACCAGAGAAACACAAAGGATCATTAGAGACTGATACAAAGACTTATATACGAACAAACTGGACAACCTAGAAGAAACAAATTCTACCAAGACAATATGAAGAGAATATCTGAACAAACCAATTAATAGTAAGGAAATTAGATCAGTAATCAAAAACTTCCAAAGAAACAAAAGTCCAGGACCAGATGACTTCACTGGCAGATTCTATCAAACATTAAGGAAGAATTAATTCCAACCCTTCTTAAACTCTTCTAAAAAACAGAAGAGGGAACCCTTCCAAACTCATTTTATGAAGCCAGTGTTACCCTGATGGGAAGCCACAAGAAAAGTGGCCAGTATGCTTGATGAACATAGATACAAAATTCCTCAACAAAATAGCAGAAAAGCCAAATTCCACAATACATTATTAAAAGGATCATACACCATGATCACATGGGATTAATTCCATAGATGCAAGGATGGTTCACTATCTACAAAAAAAATAAAATAAAAATCAGTGTGATACACCACATTAACAAAATGAAGGATAAAAATCTTTAAATCATCTCAGTAGATGCAGAGAAAGCATCTGACACAATTCAACATCCTGTAAGACCAGCAGCAAGAAAAGAATACCCACTCACCACTTTTATTCAACACAGTACTGGAAGTCCTACCCAGAGCAATTGGTCAAGAAAAAGACACAAAAGTATCCAAGCTGGAAAGAAGTAAAGCTGTCTATATTTGCAGATGACATGATAATATATATAGAAAACACTAAAAACTATCAAAAAATTGTTAGAATGAATGAATTCAGTGAAGTTGCAGGATACAAAATAAATATACTACCCAAAGCAATCTACAGATTCAATTCAATCCCCATTAAAATTCCATCAAAAAGGCATTATTCAAAGAAATATCAACAAACAATCCTAAAATCTGTATAAAAACGAAAAAGACCCCAAATATCTAAAGTAATCTTCAGAAAAAAGAAGGAAGCTGGAAGCATCACATTATCTCATTACAAACTACAGTAATAAAAACAATGTGGTACTGGTACAGAAATGAACACATAGATCAAGGAACAGACCAGATAGTCCAGGAATAAGTCCATGCATATATAGCAAATTAATTTGTGACAAAGAAGCCAAGAATATACAATGGGGAAAGGATAGTATCTGTATAAATGGTGCTGGGAAAACTGGACAGATAGAAAACGATGAAACTGTTTCACTATCTTATACCATACACAAAAATCAACTCTACATGGATGAAAGACTTAAATTTATGATCTGAAACCATAAATCTTCCAGAAGAAAACAGAGGGCTAAGGTACCTGACATCAAGTTGGCAATAAATTTTTGGATATGACATAAAAGCAAGGGCACTGAAATCAAATATAAGCAACTAAAAAGCTTCCGCACAGCAGTGTAAACTATCAATAAAATGAAAAGGCAGCCTACAGAATGGGAGAAAATATTTGCAAATCATGTATGTGATAAGGGGTGAATGCCTGAGATATATAAAGAACTCATATAACTCAAGCCCAAACAATCCAAATTAAAAATCGGCAGAGAAACTGAACACATATTTTTCCAAATAACACATACAGATAGGCAAAGGGTATGTGAAAAGGTGCTCAACATCACTAGTCATCAGGGAAATGCAAATCGAAACCACAATGAGATATGACATCATACTTGTCTGAATGGCTAGTATCAAAACAAAACAAAACAAACCCAAGAGTTAACAAGTATTGGTGTGGGTGTGCAGATAGGGAACCCTTGTCCACTGTTGGTGGAATGTAAATTGCACAGCCACTATGGAAAACAGTATGGAGCTTCCTCAAAAATTAAAAACAGAAATACCACATGATTCTGGAACACCAGTTTGGGGTATATACTCAAAAGGAATTAATACAGGATATCAAAAAGATACATGTATTCCCAAGTTCAGTGATGGCATTATTTCCAACAGCCAAGATAAGCAAAAAACCAAAGTGTTTATCAATAGATAAATGTATAAAGAAGATATGGTATCTATATACATACAATGAATATTATTCAGCCATGAGAAAGGACATCTTGCTATTTGTGACAACATGAAAAGACCCTGAGAGCATTATGTTAAGTGAAATAAAACAGAGAAAGACAAATAGTTCATGGAATCATTTTATATGTACAGTTAAAAAAAAAGTCAAATTCATAAAAACAGCAGGTAGAAAAGGGTTTGCTGGGCAGTGAGGGAAAGTGAGGTTAGTAAAACAGTAAAACCTTTTAGCTAAAAGACAATAAGGTTTGAAGATATAAGCATAACATGGTGACTACAGTTGGTAATACTGTATTATATGACTGAAATTTGCTAGGAGAGTAGAACATAAATGTTCTTACCAAAAAAAATAGAAATAAATTTTTAAAAATTTAAGTTTGTGTTTGAACATTTATAAATTATTTCTCCTATAGTAATCTGATAATCATCATATTCATAATCCCTACATCCAATGTCTTCTAAATAAAATGCTTTTTATTCAAACTGGTCAACATTTGGTCATATTTTCTTTTATAAACTACAAGGATGGGGAAAATAAGTAATAAATTCACTTTTTCATTGATGTGTTTTATGTACTTTTATATGTTTACTTACTTTAATAAGTAATGCTTCATTTGTAGCTTCAATTACTTCATTCCTGTCTTGGACTTGTTGATGCAAATTGCTTACGGTATCCTGAGCTTCTTCTAATTCCAGTTTTGCCTTCTCTAACTGTTCATTTAGTTGCTGAACAGAAGTCTTTTGAGAGTCAGCAGAAATCTTCCACTTTGCATGGTTCTCTTGATGTGAAATCATCTACACAGCCCCAAAATTGAAAAAGAAAAGAATTAAGTAGGGTGGAGTTGGTTTCAAAAACATTCTAATACTTTCCACTTCCACTTATACTAAAGTAAATTCTGTTTATAGGCACAAACATCTGGTTTCTCAACAAATAACCCATGAGAGGAAAAAAGGGGGAGAAGAAACCTATAGTCTTAAATTTACCTAAGAACAGTGAACCAAAGACCATGGTCTGTTTTTTGATCCTGATTTGAACCAGTTAACTATATAGACATTTTTGAGACAACTGGGAAAATCCAAACAATGAGCGGGTATTTGATAATATTAACGGATGATTGTCAATTTTTAGGTGTGATAACAGTATTGTGGCTAGGTTTCTTAAAAATAGACCTTATCTTTTAGAGACACCTATTGAAATGTTTATTGATGAAATAATGATGTCTGGGATTTGCTTCAAAAGAGAATGAGATGTGGAGGAAAGGGAGTGAGGTTAAAGATACAGTGATCATATTTCCCAGTTTGCTTAGGACTGACTGAGTTTTATGCCTGGTGTCCTGGTGTAGTTGCACCCCTTTTCATTCTCAAAAGCGTTCCCTTTTAAAAAGAAATGGTCAATATACTTATAGATGAAATCACATTAGCCACAAGTTGATAATTGCTAAAGTTGAATAATTAAATATAGGAGGATTTATACCATTCTTTCAAAATTTTCCAAAATAAAAACTTAAAAAAAATCTAATTCTTATCAAAAATATCAGGGGTTTTGCAATTAAATGACTTTTGTGACAATTCTGAAACCTGTAATTTTTTAAATGCTGTTAAAAATTATTGATCCTTTTTTTTTTTTTTTTCAACGTTTATTTATTTTTGGGACAGAGAGAGACAGAGCATGAACGGGCGAGGGGCAGAGAGAGAGGGAGACACAGAATCGGAAACAGGCTCCAGGCTCTGAGTCATCAGCACAGAGCCCGACGCGGGGCTCGAACTCACGGACCGCAAGATCGTGACCTGGCTGAAGTCGGACGCTTAACCGACTGCGCCACCCAGGCGCCCCAAAAAATTATTGATCCTTTATACTGGTACTTTAATGACATACTCCTTCATTTTTATAATCAAACAACATACATGCTTTAAAAATAAATCTCTGTCAAGTGTCAAAGAGAATAAAAACATTACAAATTCTTATTTTTATATCATACGTATAAAACATTAGTAGCAAATATTAAATAGCAATAGTAGAACCAATTTTTACAATTCATTTTTTGTATTCCCTGCTTATAATTAATTTCAGAGGGCTTACAAAACTTAAAGTAAAAAACTGGATAATAAATAAAAGTAGAACAGAGACCACATAATAAAAGTGTAAAGAGTAGTTGCTGGTAGACAGTTGAGCTGGACTAGTTATTACCGAAGGTCACTTAGTTGAGTAACTAATATTTATTAAATAATTATGCTGAATCCAACAGGATTCCATTTGTCTCTAAAGACCAAGGGTTGGAATCCCTTAGCCTGGGACTAGATTCAGTTTGCAAATGTGTTTTGTTTGGCAGACACCATGTTTTTAAAGAGATCTGAATCTAAACCCATTTAAGCAAGACGTGGTGACTTCAAGCTCCACCAATCCCTCACAAAGATGGTCCCAAACTCCTCTGAAAGGAGTTTAATATGAACGTATTTGTAATCCTTGTTATATAGAAAAATGCTTTACTAGAACTCCGTAAGTTATTTAGGTCTAAAATACACATTTTGGATATCCTCAAATGTAGTTTTTAAATAGACAAGAAATGCTATTCTAATTGATAACAGTGCTCATTTGTATAAAGGTTCAGGACATACTAGTAGATAAAAAGTATGTGGTTCTAATTTTGCCTTTCAACTTACTATCACAACAAATGTTGGACATTGCAAAGCATTACAGATTCATATCACATGAAACTGCGTATGTTGTTTACTAAATATCTCCAGTTTGCTTTTTCCAGTTAGTTTTGGCAAGTGCTATATTATAACTGATTATGATGAAGATGATGATGAGACAGGCTCTGGTCTAAGAACTTTAACTACATTCATTTAATCCTCAACACAGTTCTATGAGGTACATTACATTATTATACCCATTTCAGACAGAGAGGTTAATTGCTCAAGGTCACGTAAGTGCTAAGTGATGAGCTAAGATTTAGAGCCAGGCTGCCTGCCTAAAGAATTTAAGCTCTTAACTCCACAGTGTATGTGAAGTTATATTAAGCTACCAGAAATGAAGACCACAATGAATTATTCTATAATGAATACTCAGAAGTTAGACTTCTACTTTTGTTCAGATAGGTCAGCCCACTTTAGCAGACAGTACTAGAACGAATTACATCTTCTTTACCTCCAGATGATAAGCTTCTTTGAGAGATTCTACTTCTGCTGACAATTTCTTGATTTCTGCTTGCATTCTTGCTTCTAAATGAGCTTCACGTACTTGAGAAGCCCCTAATTCTTCAGCTAAATGGTTTCCATGAGCTTCCTTAAAAATGACATATTAAGGAAAAGTTATTTCACTTGTTTATTTGGTTATTAAAACTAAACCAATAGTGTGTACCTGTGGAAGTACTTCACCCTTTTATAATACTATATAAACACTCATATACAAAGTTAACTTATTAAATGGTATACTTTAAAATCTAGACATTTAAGAGACTATGAATGGGACTGTATTAGTGTATTGTTTATCATAATGTAATAGAAGTTCACTAACCAATGTATTCTGTAAAGCAAATTAATAACCACAGCATGCTGAACTTTGGCAGGTAACAGTTTACTCTAAGGTCTGCCTATGCATTTTGTTCACCAGATGCACTGTTTGCTTATCAAGAGTCAGTTGTGTATTTATCCAAACCTATTTATGCTAGTTTTGCTTAGGATTCTAATTATGCAATTTTAATATATATTATGTATGAACACGGAGGAGATACACAAGCAAAAAGAAAGTTTTTATTTAAAGGAAAGTTCTATGCTTTGAGACAGGTCAATGAATGAGTCACAAACATTTTTTACCCAATTAGAAGCAGTCAAAATAGTTGTAAAATATTATGGGAAACTCCACGTAAAATATAAGAGATGTTATACTCTGATTTACAAATGTCTTTTAATTCTTCTTCTCCTTTAAAGAAACCAAAATTGGAAACAATAGATGATCAGATAGGAATATGGTTAATGAAAAATGGCTAGGTGGAATTCTAAGCAAAGACCCTGCCCACACATAAAAAAACAAGATTTTGTCCTAACTTAAAAGATCTACAATATTTAAAAGAATATATATTTAGAGTTCTGAGATGAAGTATTTTAAACTGTCAATTTAACAAATCAAAACTACAATGAGATATCACCTCACACCTGTCAGAATGGCTAAAACCGACAACACAGGAAACAGATGTTCGGGAGGATACAGAGTAAAGGGAAACCCTCTTGTACTGTTGATGGGAATGCAAACTGGTACAGCCACTCTGGAAAACAGTATGGAGGTTCCTTAAAAAGTTAAAAATAGAACTACCCTGTGATCCAGCAATTGCACTACTAGGTATTTATCCAAAGGATAAAAAAATATTTCAAAAAAATTTTTTTAATGTTTATATTTGAGAGAGAGAGAGTGAGCGAACACAAGAGGCAGAGTGGCAGAGAGAGGGAGACACAGAATCCAAAGCAGGTTCCAGGCTCCGAGCTGTCAGCACAGAGCCTGATGCAGGGCTCAAATCCAACAACAGTGAGATCATGACCTGAGCCAAAGTCGGATGCTCAACTGACTGAGCCACCCAGGAGGCCCTAAAAATATTAATTCAAATGGATACATGCACCCTGATGTTTATAGCAGCATTATCAACAATAGGTAAATTATGGGAAGAGCCCAAATGTCCATCAACTGATGAATTGATTAAAAAAGAAGTGGCATATCGGGTGCCTGCGTGGCTCAGTCATTTAAGCATCTGACTCTTGGTTTTGGCTCAAGTCATAATTTCACAGTTTGTGGGTTCGAGCCCCACATCAGGCTTTGCACCGGCCATGTGGAGCCTGCTTGGGATTTTCTCCCTCTCTCTTTGCCCCTCCCCTGCTCTGTCTCTCTCAAATTAAGTAACTAAAAACTGTAAAAAAAAGTGGTGGGACACACACACACACACAGTGGAATATTACTCAGCCATCAGAAAGAATGAAATCTTGCCACTTGCAGTGATGTGGATGGAGCTAGAAAGCATCATGCTAAGTAAGTCACAGAAAGACAAATACCATATGATTTCACTCAAATGTGGAATTTAAATAATAAACAAATATGGGAGGGAAAAAAGAGAAGCAAACCAAGAAACAGACTCTTAACTATAGAGAAGAAACTGATGGCTACCAGAGGGAAGGTAGGCAGGGGAATGGGTGAAAAAGGTGATGGGGATGAAGGAGGGCACTTGTGATAAGCACTAGGTGTTGTATGTAAGTGATGAATCACTAAATTCTACACCTGAGACTAATATTACACTGTATGTTAACTAGCTGGATTTAAAAAAAAAAAAAAAACTTGAAAAATAAAATGTAATAAAAACTTGAAAAGAAACTGTCATTTTAAATAATTCCCCACTTTCATTCACCTTTTTGATTAACTGAGCTTACCTTATCACATCAAATCAATTGTACTATAGATACTACAAATAAAGACAAAGATGAGATAAAAGTAGAGCTCCCGTTTTCCTAGGAGACTCCCAAATGCCCAACATATTCTAATAAAAAAATTCCTTATATATTCTTTATTAGTCCAACCAGAAATGTGAATAAAAACATTAAGTTTACCAACATTAAATGTAAAGATACTTTAATGTAATTCCTGTATTAGTAACCATAATAAAAAACATAAAACAGGAACATTACTGAAATACCAATAAACACATTTTTCTCAGTCTAAGTAATTAACCCAAGCATAACAATCCAAGTATTAAAAAAAATTTTTTTTTTAATCTTTGTTTATTTTTGAGAGAGAGACAGAGTGCGAGTGGGGGAGGGGCGAGAGAGAGGAAGACAAAGAATCCGAAGCAGGCTCCAGGCTCTGAGCTGTCAGCACAGAGTCCGTTGCAGGGCTCAAACTCACCTACTGTGAGATCATGACCTGAGCTGAAGTTGGACACTTAACTGAATGAGCCACCCAGGCGCCCTCCAAGTATTTTTAAGCAAAGTTATTAACCTTCTACCAAATACAATTTATATTATAGTTCTTGTTATTAAAAGCACTTTCTCTCCATAAGGATTCTGAACTATAGGTTTCATAACAGTTATAAATTTAGATTCTCAGTTTCACTTATAAGAGTGGCTACAAATGTAAAAATTTTACTCAAAAAAGATTAGCTTTATTATTATTTTTTCAAATGATAGCTTAAACTCACTTGAAAATCTAAAAATACTTTGTAACTCAATTTATTGAAAACTAGTTTGGCTAAAACTCAGTTCTGAAGGACTTCCTAGTTATATTACAAAGCTATGCTAAATATAACATTTTCCTGAAAATATTAGTAAAATATACATAACATAAAATTTATCACTTTAACCAGTTTTAAGTGTCAAATTCAGTAGCATTAAGTACATTCAGTGTGTGCAACACAGTTACTATAATCTACAACTTAAAAAAAAGTAAATGTTAAAATTTTTTAAGATTTTTAGTAAGGTAAAATTATTTAGAATAGGGATTACTTTTTCTTTAGAGAGTTGCTTTACTTCCTCCAATTCACTTGAGAGCCTTTCTACTTCTCTCTGTGCTTGGACTTGTTGACGACGAGCCTCCACCAATTCTGTATGAGAATTCTGCATCTGCTCCCGAGTTAACCTCAATTCTTGCTCCAAATCTATGGCATCCTTGTACTGAGTTGCAATATACTGTTCCTGCTCTTTCATAACCTGAAATACACAAGATATTTGTAGCTTTCAAAGTGAAATGATATAGATAACCTATTTCTTACTCTGATTTCTCTTTTAATAAGTGATTTCCCCATCCCAACTTGATCTCTATAAAATTTGACACACAATGAATATCAGTTTCTATGAAATTGATACTTAGAAAATGTTTTTCTTCCTTTTTATTTTTTTAAAAAATTGTTTATTTATTTATTTTTGAGAGAGACAGAGATAGCACGAGTGGGGGAGAGGCAGATAGAGAGGGAGAGAGAGAATCCCAAGCAGACTCCACATCAGCCTGACAATGGGGGGCTTAAACTCATGAAACCATGAGATCATGACCTGAGCCGAATCTAAGAGTCGGACGCTTAACTGACTTAGCCACCCAGGTGCCTCTTCCTTTTTAATGATAAGAAAATGACAAAATACTATTAATAAATCTGGGATAAATGGTACATTTTGCATGACTAATATGTAAGCTGTATAATCCTTAATCATTATGAATATAACATGGCAGAATACACAATAATATAAAGAAAAAAAAGAAACTAATATGTGATATCCATTTCACAGATGGAGAATATATTGGCATGAATAACCAAAACCCACCATTAATCCATATGGGTTAAGGTCTTTTCTGTAAAAGTATCTGTCTGCAGACAGATAAACACAATGAAGATCTATATATGAAGTTTTAAAGTTGAGTATACTATTTAAAGGCAAAAAAAAGTAACACCCATGAGAGCTCTTAGAAGCAAACTCAGTTTTGGGATGCCTGGGTGGCTTAGTCAGCTGAGTGTCTGACTTTGACTCAGGTCATGATTTCATGGTTGGTGAGTTTGAGCCCTGCACCAAACTTGCTGCTGTCAGCACAGAGTCCACTTTGGATCCTCTGTTCCCCTCACTCTCCACCCCTCTCCCATTCATGTGCACGCTCTTTCTCTCAAAAATAAACAAACATTTAAAAAACAAACAAATAAATTAAAAGAAGCAAATTCACTTTTTGAAAAGGCAAGTGGGTAGAATTCACCATTCAGCACACATGCAAACTGATAATATGAAGTCATCAAACTTCACCTGGCAACTAACTCAATGTGTTTAGTCTCAATATTGTACAATTATTATCTGTTCATTCATTCGCTGGATGGGGTTCTTCAAGGATAAATGAGTGTATCTTGATATCTGTATCTCCAGCTCTCCTACACAGTAGGTTCTCAATAAATATTTGTTGACCAAGTGAACACATACTGTGAATTCATTATGTGAGAGATACTATGACAATTCCTATAGGCAATATAAATAGGATGATGCCCTTGCCTATAATTGGAACATCAGAATAAATATTTTAAAAAGATCAAAGAAACTAGTATCTGACATAAATAATTAGCCCCAAAATACTTATGGCATAGCTTCTATATATTAAAACCAACCAGTTTAAAACATAAAGATTTATATCACTCTTCAGATAATATTAGTATGTTTCTTAGGAAGAGATAATTTGCTTACACTTTCCATTTCTTTCATCTTTTGTTGTGTTCGTTCATTTTCTTTTTTCAGTTGACTTATCTCCTGTTCATTTTGTAGTGTTATAAACTCTTTTTCTCGAAGCTGTTCTTTGGCATTTTGCAATTTTTCATTCAAACTTTCTATCTGAATTTTAAAAAGAGTAATGTTAATGTAACTAAGGAAAAATAATTTTTAAATCATAATTGCAATCCAAGTAAGTCAAGCTTTAAACACATAAATCCAAAGTAGCCAATATAAAAATGTGTTTTTCTTAATGCCATTATAACTTAGACATTAACATCAGGATTCTTGTGCTTAATAAGAAGCTTCTTTGTATACCTGAAACACACAAGAGATGGAAGTCTCAATCACATTTGTGTAAGAAAGGAAAATTAGGTACATTAAAGCAACAAGTGTTATATGGTCTTACAAATAGTTTTATAGGTAGTATGTTTAAGAGGTAAAAAACTCTAGTTAGTGAAAATAAAATCCCCTTCCCACTCTGTTCCTTCCTTAAAGGTAACCAAAGAAGAGAATTACTTGCAAATCCTTCCAGAGATATTTTATACATATTCAAACACGCACACATGAGGATAAATACGTGGACATACTGATACAAGAAAACCTGTATTTGAAATAACATTAAGAGGGTCATCGGGCTAGGGAGTGAGGAAAATGAGGAAATGTTGGTCAAAGTGTACAAGATTTCAGTCATGCAGGATAGTAAGTTCTGTAAATCTAATGTACAGCAAGTGATTATAATTAGTAATACTGTATTTGTATACTTGAAAGTTGCCAAGAGAATAGATATTGAGCATTCTCAACAAAAATAAATAATTATAATAACTGAGGTGATGGACATGTTAATTATTACACAGAGTATATGTATAGGAAAACATGTTGTATACCTCAAATATATGCAATTTTTGTCATATGTCAATAAAGCTGGGGAAAAAGTTAAAATGAGAAAAATGAATTAAAGTAGTATGTACAAGGTGATTAAAATTATGCAGTATTTTTATTGTATGTATTCTACTTAAAAGCCACATTATGTGAACAACAGATGCTTACAGTTATGGAGTTATTTTTTAAAACAATTTAAAATATGTAATTTTAACTAATTTACCTGTTTGTTGCATTCTTTAACTTCCAATTCTGATTTCTCAAGAGTACCCTCTAATTTAATTATTTTCTGCTCCATTTCTCCCCTGTGCTCACGAATAGTCATATCCAAATGTGTAACCTAAATACAAAAGTAGCCTGCATCAATAATTTATTTGTTTTTATTGCTAAGTAGCATTCTATGGTATTCCATGGTGGTACCATCATTTACTTAACCATTCACTTACTGATGGGCATTTCAATTATTTTCTATTTTGGGCTGTTACTAATAAATGCACTGTGAACATTTGTGTATATAGGTTTTTTGTGAACACATGTTTTCATTTCTCTGAGACAAATGCCTAAGAATGTAACTGTTGGGTTGTAAGGTAAGAACATGTTTAGTACTGTAAAAAAACCTGCTATCTAGACTCTATCCAGAGAGGCTGTACCATTTTACATTACAACCAGCAATGAATAAGTGATCCAGTTTCTCTTCATCGTCACCAGCTTGGTGTTATCCCTACTTTTTATTTTAGCCATTTGGCAAAGAGTGTGGCGATATCACATTGTGATTTCAACAAAATGAACATCAATGTCTTTTCATGTCTTTGGCTTATTGTTTTTAAAATTTTTATGCTTATTTATTTCTTTTTTGAGAGAGGGAGGGGCAGAGAGAATCCCAAGCAGGTTCTGCACTGTCAGCGCAGAGACAGATGCAGGGCTCAGACTCATGAAACCTGATATCATGAGCTGAGCTGAAACCAAGAGTCGGACATTCAACTGACACCACCCAGGCACCGCAGGCTTATTTTTTTTAATTGGATTGTTTACTTTTTTACCACTGAGCTTTGAGATGAGAGTATATATCCTGTGTATGAGTCCTTTGTCAGATAGTGATTTACAAATATTTTTTCCTGTCTATTCCTTATCACCCTCTTAACAAGGTCTTCTGCAGAATAAATTTTTAATTTTGAAAAAAAAAAAAACATTAAACTATTACTCAATTATTCTAATGTGAAAAATTGTGTGCCTGGAATGTGTTTTAAAATTGTTTACAGTGTGGGGCGCACGTGGGTGGTTCAGTTAATTAAGCAACCAGCTTCGGCTCAGGTCACGATCTCATGGTTTGTGAGATCGTGCCACACATCAGGCTCTTTGCTGATGGCTCAAAGCCTGGAGCCTGCTTCAGATTCTGTGTCTCCCACTCTCTTTATCCCTACCCTGCTCATGCTCTCTCTCTCTCAAAATTAAATAAACATTAAAAAAAATTTTTTTAACTCTTTATAGTGGGTGTAACTGAAACATAAACTCAGCTCAAATTATTTTTAAAAATGAGAAAAATATTCATTGCTTATAAATACTGAATCTTGAGTTTCATATATATTATACAAACTTAAAAAATTCAACTATGTTCATAAATGACAAATAAAATGATTTAGACTTCATTTTATGTGAGATAAAAGCTGCTAAATACAACATAACAAAAATTGTGGAATGCAGCAAAAGAAGTGCTTGGAGGAAAATGTAGAGCACAGAATGCATATATTAGAAAAGAAGAAAGATCTAAAATCAATCATTTAAGTTTCCAATTTGGGAAACTAGGAAAAGCAGAGCAAATTAAATCCAAAGTAAGCAGAAGAAAAGAAATAATAAAAATTAAAGCAGACATCAGTAAAATTAAAATTAGGATATCAACAGAGAAAATCAACAAAACCGAAAGCTGAGTTGTGAAAAGATCAATAAAATCAATATGCCTCCAGCCAGGATAACTAAGAAAAAAAGAAAGATGACACAAATTACTAATATCACAAATGAAAGAGAACATTACTGTAACTCTAATGGACATTAAAAGGATAATAAGGAATATTACAACTCTCTGACCACAAATTTAATAAAACTAGATGAAACAGACCAATTACTTGGAAGACAGAATCTGCCAAAACTCAAACAAGAAGAGATAATCTGAATAAGCCTATATCTATTAAAGAAATTAATGATTAATAACTTTCCCATACAGAAAGCAGCAGGTCCTGGTGGGTTCACTGGTGAATTCTACTGAACATCTAAGAAAGAAATTATACCAATTTTCTACAGTCCAATTCAGAAGACAGAAGCAGTGGAAATAATTCTGAACTCATTCTATGAGGCCAGTATTACCCTAATACCCAAACCAGACAAAGACATTTGAACACACATTCAACACATGGTAAAAACCCTCAGTGAACTAGAAATGAAGGAAAATTTCATTAACTTAATAAAGAATATCTACAGAAAAACAACAGCTAGAATCATACTTAATGGTGAGAAATTCAAAGCCTTCCCACTAAGATCAGATACAAGGCGAGGATATTCACTATTCACTATTCACTATCAATACTCACTATTGTTCTAGCAGTCCTAGCTAATGCAGTAAGATAAGAAAAAGAAATAAAAGATTTATATATATTAGCAAGGGATATAAAACTGTGTTTGTTTATAGATGACATAATCATCTAGGGAGAAAATCTGAAAGATTTGACAAAAAAATTCCTAGAACCAATAAGTGATTATAGCAGGGTTGTAGGATATAAGGAATACACAAAAGTCAATCACTTTCCTATTTGCTAGCAATGAACAAGAGGAATGTCAAACTAAAAACATAATATGATTTACATTAACACTCCCAAAAATTAAATACTTAGGTATAAATCTAGCAAAATATATACAAGGTCTATTAAGAGAAAACTACAAAACTTCAATGAAAGAAATCAAAGAATTAAATAAATAGACAGTCCATGTTCATGGATAGGAAGACTCAATATTGTCAAGATTCAAGATGTCAGTTCTTCGCAACTAAATCTATATATTCAGGGCAATTCCAATAAAAATTCTACCAAGTTATTTTGAAGATACTGACAAACTGATTCTAAAGCTTACACGGAGAGTAAACAGATCCCAAATATCCAACATAATATCAAAGAACAAAGCTGGAAGACTGACATTACCTGACTTCACGACACTATAAATAAACAGTCTGTGGTACTAGCAAAAAAACAAGTGAATAGATAATCATACAGAATAAAGTCCAGAAACTAACTCACATAAATATGTTAACTGATCTTTGACAAAGGAGCAAAGCCAATACAATGGAGAAAAGATAGTCTTTTCAACAAATGGTGCTGGAATAACTGGACAACCACATGGAAAAAATAAATAAATCTAGACCACACCATTCACAAAAATTAATTCAAAATGGATCACAGACCTAAATGTAATCTGCAAAACTATAAAAATTCTAAAAGATAACATAGGGGAAAACCTAGATGACCTTGGGTTTGGTGATGATTTTTAATATATGAAATCAATGGCACAATTCATGAAAGAAGCAATTAATCAGCTGGACTTCACTAAAATTTAAAAGTTCTGCTCTGTGAAAACCAATGCAAAAGATTGTGAACAAAAGCCACAATTATCAAGGACTAATATTCAAAATATACAAAGAACTCTTAAAATTCAACAATAAGAGAACTCAATTAAAAAATGGGACAAAGACCATAATAGACACCTCCCCAAAGAAGATATACAAATAGAAAATAAGCACAGGAAAATATCCTCTACATCATATGTCATCTGAGAAATGTAAATTAATAAGGAGATACCACCATACACCTATTAGAATGGCCAAAATCCAAAACACTGACACAAAATGCTAGCAACAGGAATTGACGTTCATTGCTGGTAACAATGCAAAATGGTACAAGCCACTTCGGAGCAGTTTGGAAGTGTCTTATAAAACTAAACACACTCACCATATGGTCCATCAATCACACCCCTTGGTAATTACCAAAAGGAGTTGAAAACTTATATCCACACAAAAACCTGCACACAGATGTTTATGGCAGCTTTATTTGTATTGTCAAAACTTGAAAGCAACCAAGATGTCTTTCAGTAGGAAAGACATTCAGTGAATGGATAAGTAAACTATAGTACATATCTAGACAATGGAATATTATTCAGTGCTAAAAGCAATGAGCTATCAAGCAATGAAAAGCTGTGGAGGAACCTTAAATAAATATTACTAAGTGAAAGAAGCCAATATGAAAAGACTATGTACTCTATGATTTCAACTATACGACTGGAAAAGGCAAAATGAAGGAGACAATAAAAAGATCAGTGGCTGCTAGGGTCAGGGGAAGAGTAGGAAAGATGACTAGAGCACAGAGGATTTTTAGGGCAGTGAAAATACGCTGGATGATACCATAATGATGGATACATGTCATTAAACATTTGTGTAAACCCACAGAATGTACAACACCAATAGTGAACTCTAATATAAATTATGGAGCTTGGGTAATTATAACATGTGTGTTCATCAACTATAACAAATGTACCATTCAGGTGGGGAATGTTGATAATGGGGAAGGCTGTGAATTTATGGAAGCAAGGGATATATGGGAAATCTCTGTGCCTTCTGCTCAATTTTCATTGTGAACCTGTAACTGTTCTAAGAAACAAAGTCTTAAAAAAAGATGTTAAATAATGCCCTTTGAATATTTTTGTTTCTCCAACAAACACTAGCTGAGCAAGTAACTCCTTTAATCACATGTTCTTCTGATATGCAGCAATGTAAGAGATCAAAAGGTTGGGATACTAAGCTAATCCTCATTCTCAAAAAACTACTTCTATAAAAAAAGCAAGATGAAGAAAGAAAGATGACATTTTCTAATTTTAAAAATACTAATGTGCATAGAAAAACATATATGCTTAAAAATGTCTATTTTACCAAAAAGTGGTGACCTCTGAAACCCTGTGTGATTGTACTGTAACAGAAAATTTCATCAAATATAATTAAGAAAACCAACTTGAGCTGCTCTTTGCTTTAGTTCCCAATTTCTCTCCTTAAGTGCCTGGTCCATTTCAAGGAGTTCTTGCTTTTTATCTTCAATCTCCATCTTGCATTCGCTGCAATTTATCAAAGGAAAAAGATCAAAGCAAATAGTAGGAATATTATAGTTTTAAAAAATTAAGTCAATTGGGTTAACATTTCCTCTAAGTGACAAGTAATAAAATATATGCAATTATTTCTGATTGAAAGGGCTCAAATTAAAGAAATAATGTATAAAGAAAATGATTGATATCAATACAATTACTTTTAATAGAGTATTCTCAAAAGGCAAAAGTTAACTAAAATACTACTATTGTAGACAATTGAAGCTAAATGTTAAAGTACTCCCAGGGAGCAAGACTGAATCAGTATTAAGAATTTTAAAAATACGTCCAATATTTTTCATTTATAGATCAAGGGAGCATTTGAAAGTCTTTTCTATATAATAGCTGTGAGTTTATTACAATTGAATGAGGCATTTATCTTGTGGTTGGTATCTCTGATATCCACAACTCAGTTTAGAAATACTTTTAATAAATTCTACCTCTCCTAAAACCTTATTTCTAATTTTATATTATAAATACTTACTACTGATACAACTTTAAGACTTCTACCACTCAGATCGGAGAATGCGAAGAATTTCTTTTTAATTTTTTTTAACATTTATTTATTTTTGAGAGAGAGAGAGACAGAGAGAGTGAGCAGGGGAGGGGCAGAGAGAGAGGGAGACAGAGAAACCGAAGCAGGCTCTAGGCTCTGTCAGCACAGAGCCCAATGCAGGGCTTGAACTCACAAACCCTGAGATCATGACCCGAGCCAAAGTTGGAGGCCCAACTGACTGAGCCACCCAGGTGCCCCAAAGAATTTTAATCTGGAACTCTATGTTCTGATATGACAAAAGCTAAAAATGTTGATCTTGAAAATCATCATATGGTTTTCCAGTCTTAAATATAAACAATATTGAATAAAAGTACTGATTTTAAAAGCAGATTCAAAACTTCTTTAATGAGCCATTTACTATTCTCTTAAAAGTCTCAAGAGTTATGAAATATAAGGCTACATTAAGTTATTATGAAATAAATTCTAAAGATAATGCTGTTGTGTAAGTGAATAGGTGAGCTTCCAAAAATTCAGCTATTAGTTAAAATTTAAGATTTCATGGGGCACATGGGTGGCTTAGTTGGTTAAGCGTCCAACTCTTGGTTTCAGCTCAGGTCATGATCTCATGATTTGTGGGTCTGAGCCCTGTGCTGGGCTCTGCACTGACAGAGTGCAGCCTGCTTGGGTTTCTGTGTCTCCCTCTTTCTCTGTCTCTCTCCTGCCTGTACACATACTCACTCTCTCTCTCTCCCTCTCAAAATAAATAAATAAAACTTAAAAAAAAAAAAAAAGAGATTTCACTTTTACTTTTTTAATTCATTTATTCATGTTACCATTTAGCAAATATTTACTGGAAGCTTCCTATGTATCAAGGCTCTATGTACGGTGAATTTAATAGTCAACAAGATGGATGTCCTTCATCACATGGAGTATACATACTAATAGGCCAGGAAAGAAGACAGAGTATAAATAATGAACAACAAGAAAAATGTAAAGTGCTATGTCAGAGCACTAAATACAGTGATGTGATAGTGACTGGGTGGCTACTTGAGAGTAAGTGGTCAGAGAAGGGACCTCTGAGGTAATGTGAAGGGCAAGAAGTTGGCCATTCAACCATTATTTCAGGCCAAAGAAACAGCTACAGCAAAGTCATCAGGTAGGAAATATGTACCGTTTTAAGTACAACAAGAAGGCCAGGAGCAAGGGGAACAGTATGAAATGAAGCCAGAGAAATTGGCAAGAACCTTATCATGTAGGGCTTTGTATTCCATGATAAGGAGCTTGGATTTTTTTGTTTAAACTGTTGTAAAATACATATAAGATTTACCATTTTAAAATACAGCATCCCTTCTTGATAAAAACCCTCAAGAAAGCAGGGATAGAGGATCACACCTCAAGATCATAAAAGCCATATGTGAAAGACCCGCTGCTAATATCATCCTCAATGGGCAAAAGCTGAGAGTTTTCCCCCTAAGGTCAGGAACAGGACAGGGATGTCCATTCTCACCACTGTTATTCAACATAGTATTGGAAGTCTTAGCCTCAGCAATCAGACAACACAAAGATATAAAAGGCATCCAAACTGGCCAGGAGGAGGTCAGACTTTCACTCTTCGTAGATGACATGGTACTCTTTATGGAAAACTGAAAAGATTCCACCAAAAAACTGCTAGAACTGATCCACGAATTCAGCAAAGTGGTAAGATATAAAATCAATGTACAGTAATCAGTTACATTCCTATATACCAATAATTAATGAAGTAACAAAAAGAGAAATCAAGGAATTGATCCCATTTATAACCGCACCAAAAAGTATAAAATACCTAGGAATAAACATAACCAAAGAGGTTAAAAATCTATTCACTGAAAACTATAGAAAGCTTATGAAAGAAATTGAAGAAGACACAAAAAAATGAAAAAATATTCCATGCTCATGGATTGGAAGAACAAACATTGTTAAAATGTCGATACTACCCAAAGCAATCTAGTTATTAAATGCAATCCCTATCAAAATAACACCAGCATTCTTCACAGAGCGAGAACAAACAACCCTGAAATTTATATGGAACCAGAAAAGACCCCGAATAGCCAAAGCAATCTTGAAAAAGAAAACCAAAGCTGGGGGCATCACAATCTCGGACTTCAAGACGTATTACAAAGCTGTAATCATCAAGACAGTTTGGTACTGGCACAAAACCAGACAGTCAGATCAATGGAACAGAACAGAGAACCCAGAAATGGACCCACAGACATATGGCAAACTAATCTTTAACAAAGCAGGAAAGAATATCCAGTGGAATAAAGACAGTCTCTTCAGCAAGTGGTGCTGGGAAAACTGGACAGCGACATGCAGAAAAATGAACGTGGACCACTTTCTTACAACCATACACAAAAATAAACTCAAAATGTATGAAAGACCTAAATGTAAGACAGGAAGCCATCAAAATCCTCAAGAAGAAAGCAGGCAAAAACTTCTTTGACCTTGGACGCAGCAACTTCTTACTCAATACGTCTCTGGAGGCAAGGGAGACAAAAACAAAAATGAACTATTGGGACCTCATCAAAATAAAAAGCTTCTGCACAGTGAAGGAAACAATCAGCAAAACTAAAAGGCAACCGAATGAATGGGAGAAGGTATTTGCAAACGACATATCAGATAAAGGATTAGCATCCAAAATCTATAAAGAACTTATCTAACTCAACACCCAAAAAACAAATAATCCAGGAAAGAAATGGGCAAAAGACATGAATAGACACTTCTTCAAAGAAGACATCTAGATGGCTAACCGACACATGAAAAAATCCTCAATATCACTCATCATCAGGGAAATACAAATCAAAACCACGAGACAGCACCTCACACCTGTCAGAATGGCTAAAATTAACAACTCAGGCAACAACATATATTGGCGAGGATGCTGAAAAAGAGCATCTCTTTTGCACTGCTGATGGGAATGCAAAGTGGTGCAGCCACTCTGGAAAACACTATGGAGGCTCCTCAAAAAATTAAAAATAGAACTACCCTACGACCCAGCAATTGCACTACTAGGTCTTTACCCAAGGGATTCAGGTGTGCTGTTTCAAAGGGGAACATGCACCCTAATGTTTATAGCAGTACTATCGACAATAGCCAAAGCATAGAAAGAGCCCAAATGCCCATCAACAGATGAATGAATAAAGAAGATGTGGTATATGTATACAATGGAGTATTACTTGGCAATCAAAAAGAATGAAATCTTGCCATTTGCAGCTACGTGGATGGAACTAGAGGGTATTATGCCAAGCAAAATTAGTCAGAGAAAGACAAATATCATATGACTTCACTCATATGAGGACTTTAAGATATCAAACAGATGACCATAAGGGAAGGGAAGCAAAAATAATATAAAAACAGGGAGGGGGACAAAACATAAAAGACTCTTAAATATAGAGAACAAACAGAGGGTTGCTGGAGGGGTTGTGGGAGGGGGGATGGGCTAAATGGGTAAGGGGTATTAAGGAATCTACTCCTGAAATCATTGTTGCACTATATGCTAACTAACTGGGATGTAAATTAAATAATAAATAAATTAATTTAAAAAAAGATTTACTATTTTAGCCATTTTAAAGTGTATAGTTCAGTTATACTAAGTAAATTCACAATGTTGTGTAACCATCACCACTGTCTATTTCCAGTACTTGTTCATCACTCCAAATGCAAATCTAATACTCATCTGCAGTTACTTGCCAGTGTCCCACCCCTAGTTCTAACAACCATTAATCTGCTTTCTATCCTTAGGGATTTTCTAATTCTGGATATTCCATATAAATGGAATTAGACAACATGTGTCTGGTTTATTTCAAGGTTCAAGATGAACCTGTTTTCAAGGTTCATCTCTGTTGTAACACACATCAGTACTTTATTCCCTTTCATGGCTGAATAATATTCCCTATATGGATATATCTATCACATTATTCATCCATTCAACTACTGAAGGATATTTGGGTTATTTCCACTTAGCAGCTATTGTGAATAGAGCTTCTATGAACATTGGTGCACAATTATTTTGAACATCTGTTTTTAATTCTTTTGGGGTATAACTAGGAGTGGGATTAATGATTTATATGGTAATTCTATGTTCAACTTGTTGTGGAATTGCCAAATTGTTCTCCACAGGCACTGTACCATTTTAGTTTCCAACAGCAATGTATGAGGTTCTAATTTCTCTAAATACTTGCTAACACTTATTATTTTCAGTTTTGTTTTGTTTTTGTTTGTTTTTATCATGGTCATTAGAGTGGGTGTGAAGCAGCATCTCACTGTAGTTTTGATTTACATTTCCCAAGGAGCATGGATTTTATTCTAAATATTTTGGGAAGCCATTAGACATATTTAAATAGGGAAAGCAATTTAGTTGAGAAGCAATATAATCTGATTTATGTTTTAAATAATAAGCTTAAATCCATTTCTATTGTTTTAAATCATAAACCTAAATGGATTGGGGGAGTGTCAGGAATTTAAGCTGGGAGACCATCAGGGAAGCCACAGCAACAGACCAGGTGAGAGATGATAGTTTGTGCTAAGGTGGTAACAGAAAAGAGGCCAAGAAATCAATGGATTTCAAAATATGTTTTAGAAATAAAGTTGACATGAATTCCTAATAGACTGGATGGGGAAAAAAATAGAGGCAAAGAGAGAGGAATAATCCTATAGATTTCTTACTTGAGCAATTGCATGATTCTTAGATGGAAGATGAACAGAGTTATGAAGAAAAAAAGAGTTCTGTTTTGGCCAAGTTTACGATGCCCCTTAAAAAAACATTTGAGTGGAGGTAACAAGTCATAGATATTTGAGTCTAGGGTTTAGGGAAGAGATCATCACTAGGGTTTGGAAGTCTGACACACAGTATTTAAAGCTGTATGAAATTTCCTAAGAGTGATTTTGTGGATAGAAAAAGGATAGAAAAGATTTATCCTGCACTGAGTAACAGGATACATCTAAGTTCCTAGGTCATCTTGCTTCTCTCTATCCTGTCATCCCACTTTTCACAATGTGGTTTGTAATTCTATTTTCCTTTCCAGAATCTATTTCCCACACCTTGGTTCTGGTTTGGTTCTCCACTCCCACTCACCATAGATGTGTGCTGGAACAGTATTTTATGCTACTACTGTTAATCCAAGAACCCAGATTTTAGAGTTGGTCAGACTTGTGTTTAACACCCTTTTCTGGACCTCATTATCCAGACTGTATTTTACTTAATTCTCTCAAGCCTCAGTTTTCTCAAGTGCAAATAGGTGGTAATATGTGTATAATAAGTTTGTTGTAAAGAAATGAGTAAGGTCATAAAAGAAGTCCCTTGCATGATGCTGGCACAAAATAAGGGCTTAATACAAATAAAACATTGTTTTGTTTTTCTCTAATTTTTTTTAATGTTTATTTATTTTTGAGATAGGGAGAGAGAGCGTGAGCAGGGGAGGGGCAGAAAGACAGAGATGAAGACACAGAATCTGAAGCAGGCTCCAGGCTCTGAGCTGTTAAGCACAGAGTCCAATGTGGGGCTTGAACTCACGAGCTATGAGATCATGACTTGAACTGAAGTTGGATATTTAACCAACTGAGCCACCCAGGTGCCCCCAAAGAAAATATTGTTATTAATATTATTTTGCTACTAACCACTGCTGTACACTGGTCCAATAATTTTTTTACCACTATTTAATATAGGAGAGGGTCAGAATAAAATGGTCCAAAGACCAAGGATGGAAATACTAGTCAAGAGGAATGGCTGAATTACTTAGATGGAGCATGGGACAGGCTGAATAGGATGAGCCAAAGGCAGGTGAGAACTTTAGACATTTATAATTAAACAAACTTTACTGTATGACACAAGGAGTTAGAGTAACAAAGTGAAACACTTGTAATTGTGCTATCATTTCTTACTATTTAACTCACCGAAGTTCAGCTGTGAGATCCTTTATAGTAGTGTATTTCTCCTCTAATGATAATTGAGCCTTCTGTAGTACATCTCTCAATTCCTGAAGTTGTCTTAAAGTGCTTTTTAATTCTCCATGAGCATTTTGTAGTTCAGCCTCTAATGCTTCCCGTTTCTGCAAAGCCTCTGTTAGTTCAGTTTCAGTGTGGTGCTGTAATTTTTCTAACTCCTTCACTGTTAAGAGGAAAGACAAATTTTAGAACTATATATAAGCCATTTGTTATAAAAATTTGTAAATAATTACAATTAAGAATATACAATTTTATTCATCTACAAGAGGCAGAATACTGACCACTCATTGCTCCTTCCAGTCCCACTATCCCAAATTTTCACTTTATTCCACTTCTTTAAATATAAACATACAGGCAGCTAAGCTCAGCTAACCTGTTGCTTACCAGAATTTGTCTTCTTATCTAGTTCTGTCTTTGTCTGTTCTAAGATCATGTCTAACTGAGAGAGGTGCATTGCTTTATTTTCTCCATCTCGTTTTAGGTACATTATTTCTTTTTCCATTTTAGATAGTTCTTCTTTGTACTGATCCATCTCAAGTTTTACTTGCCTAATTAAAAACAAAAAATGAAACAAGTAATAAATGATCATTTGGAAAGCTGAATAACTGAAACCAATTGACTTGTCTCTGACTGAACAAAATCTTCAAGTTATATAAGGACAAATATCAGCAAAACATCTATCTAGTCACAATCTTAGGTCACATATTATTAAAAATCTCCAACTAGAAATTTGTAATTCTGCCCCAGTTATGTATCACTAAATATGACTGTATTACCTGGTACTATTTAGCAAGACAAGCCTTCTTTCCAATCTAACTACAGTTAGCTTGTGTAAAGCTCTGTATATGCTGAGAACCTCCATGGATAGGTGTCTCATTCATCTCGAATTTTTGTTACTGCAACACAGAAAATAAGGAAGCCAACCCATCAAAATATTCACCATAATGACCATATTAGTCATAGGAGAACCAAGTCAGTCACTTTTATTCAGAGTTTTATTATTTTACGTTATCTTTTTTAGGGACTAGAGATTCTCAGACTAGTACAACATTCTTGCTTTACAGATGAGGAAACTGGAAGGTTAGTGAATTGTCTGGGATAAGACAAATAGTTATTAATAGTGAGAGAATCAGGTTTACTAACTTTCCGTCAGTCCTGAGCTTATTCCAACATGGAAGCTTCTCTACCTACAGACAAATCAACATAGTGAGAAAAAGTTTTAAGTACATATTTTGCTCATTCCAAAATGATATTCACTCATTAAAAAACTGTTAATGCCGTCCTCAATGGTGGGAAGAACTGACGCTCCTTTAATCAACATTTTTTGTTGGGTGTTTCTTTAGGTCTTTGATATTTTGTAAATTGAGTTTGCAAACAAGAACATTTCTTTTGTAAATGCAATTTAGACAAATTTGGATTTGTTCAAAGGGTTTTTAGTCTGATGACTGTGAGTAAACTTAAGGAAAACTATAAAACTCCTGAAACAATATGTAAAATTACATATACGTATGTTTATCTGTATATAGAAAATAATTCATAGCTTTATCATATCCTTAAATATGTCCATGGTCAAAAAGTTAAGGAGCTGATTAGATAAGTGCATAATTACCCGTTTTCATATCTAAAATTTCAGGTAAGTGATATTTAGCTCAACTAATTCATTTCTTATATTAGAGGAGATATAAAACATAATTAGAAAATAATAATTAAAAGAGGTTGGCATATAGTACCAAGAGTGAGAGCTTGTCAGCAAAGAAGTTGGGGGAAAATTATATTAAAAAAATACAAGAACTCGGGGTGCCTGGGTGGCTCAGTCGGTTGAGTGACCGACTGCAGCTCAGGTCATGATCTCACGGTTTGTGAGTTCGAGCCCCGCGTCTGGCTCTGTGCTGACAGCTCAGAGCCTGGAACCTGCTTCGGATTCTGTGTCTCCCTCTCTCTCTGCCCCTCCCCGACTCACGCTCTGTCTCTCTCTGTCTCAGAAATAAATAAACATTAAAAAAAAAAAAATACAAGAACCCAAAAAGCACAGTAGTCTATAGACATTTAGTAAGAAACAGAACTCTATATTCTTCAAGATTTTGTTGAGGTGCTACTATATTTCATCATGGTATAATAATCGATGTATGCAACAATAACCCTGAGATACCCAGAGAAGTTAAAAATGACAAGAAAATATATATTTTGGAAAATTTCTACCAAAAAGTGTTTTTTGTTTTGTTTTAAAGTTTCAGTACTTGGTGAAGATAAATTCCACTCCTATTTATTTATCAACACCTACTCATTCTTCCTTGATGCTAGGTGAATGAGGGATTAGTATAATATAATAAATATTTAAGGGTTAAAAAATTTTAATTATAGGGGCGCCTGAGTGGCTCAGTCAGTTAAGCATCCAACTTTGGCTCAGCTCATGATCTCACAGTCTGTGAGTTTGAGCACCACGTCAGGCTGCCTGCATGCAGCCTGCTTAGGATCCTGTGTCCCCCACTCAGTCTGCCCCTCCCCTGCTTGTGCTCTCTCACTCTTTCTCTCTCAAATATAAAAACATTAAAAATTTTTAATTATAAATAATCCAATACTAAAAAGTTTTCTCTTTCAAAATTTTACAACAGGCTTTAAATCCACTAGTTTTTCCAGAAATACTTCACCTTCTTGATTGAAAGCAATCACGTCTGAGACTGGAAATAGACTTTGTATATTAAAGTTCTATAAATTGTAGCTCCAGAAGTGAAAGAAACAAGTGGTACCAGAGAAAACAAAACCCTAAACCCTTTTCTTCCATGAGAAGAAGATATCATGGAGCTAGGGTATTTCTTTCTTATGAAGTTTAATCATTTTGCTCATAAGCTTCCTATGAGTATTTAGGATTTACTTTTCTTACTAAATGTGCCTATTAGCTATAATCAAGAGGTTTTGTCTAAAAGCCAAAGGGTGAGGGTAAGAATAGGAACAAGAAATTGCTTCAATTTTCTCATTGAAAGAGAAAGCAAGATCATCAGTGAGGGCAGGGATTGGTAAGGGGTTGTTGAGAATTTTGAAAGAAAATGACTAAGTGTCTTCTACAAAGTCAGTAACGTTTTGATTGCCAGGCAGCATGTCCCTTGAAATTATGAATTTAAAGTAAGATTGGTCAGCGTGCTTATATTTTTCTCCAGTTTCTGTAAAGATGCAAGCATGGAGTAGTGTGAGTTGGAACAACTTAACGGTATATAGACAAAGGAGTGAGAGGTAAGAGTTGCAAGCAGATGCAAATCATTGATTCTAATGACCTACCTTGAATTTAAGCTGAGTAGAGAAAGGAGAGGACATCAGGGAATGAGACAGTGGTGGAACTGATGAGTTAGAGATCTTGTGTAGATCAAAGAATCATTGAATTTGGGGTATTAAAGGGAATGAGGTGATAATATAGGTATAGATGCCTAATATCCCGATCATGGAAAAACTGCAGATAATGGAAATGACAAGATCTAGAGTAAATCATGTGAGCGAGTGGCTGAGGTATGATAGAGCTCAAGATCATTAGAGGAGAGGAATTTTTAAAATGAGATGCTAATGTGTCAGAAGGATCAGCTAATAGATATTGAAATCATCAAGAATAATGACACAATTGGTGTTGGAGGGAGCAACAATACATAGGTGGCCTATAGGTGTCAGCGACAGTGAGGGATAATATCGTCTGGTGACCAGAGGTTTACAGAGTTGGTATACTATTCCATATCTCAACCCTGTGGTATAGGAACTGTAGGAACTATTGGAACTTTAGAGGGTTGCAGGACAAGAAACAAGGTCCTCAGGGAAGAGTCATATTTCTGTTAAAGCAAAGAAATGGGAAATACAGAGAATGTTTTTCAGGATGGACTGTGAGTTTCAGAGGACAAGTAGAAGTCTCTCAGAAATTGGGATAAGTTGAGAGAAGGAAACAGTATACATGGTGAAGTTTTGGGAATTAGTATGAGATGACTGTTGACCTGGAAATACACAGCTTCTTGTGGTGTGTAGCATAAGCAAGGATAAAGTTATGATATAACTATTCAAGTAGACGCTGGTGGTGAGGCTATTTTGTGGGTAGACACCAATCAATGGAAGAAAGAAAGTCTGAAACTGTGATCTTAAACAAAGGGCAATTCTCTTGACCCTGCTGAGAGAGTTGACATCTAGAAAAGCAAGTTGCAGGGCGCCTGGGTGGCTCAGTCTGTTGAGTGTCTGACTTCAGCTCAGGTCATGATCTCGCAGTCTGTGAGTTCGAGCCCCGCGTTGGGCTCTGTGCTGACAGCTTGGAGCCTGCAGCCTGCTTCTGATTCTGGGTCTCCCTCTCTCTCTGCCCCACCCCTGCTCACTCTGTCTCCTTCTGCCTCAGAAATAAATAAACATTTTAAAAAAAATTTAAAAAAAGAAAGAAAGAAAGAAAGAAAGAAAGAAAGAAAGAAAGAAAGAAAAGCAAGTTGCTGCTCAATGCACAAAGGCCTGATCTTTACTTCTGTCAGTGGGGGAGAGGGAACCTGGGGACATGGGGTTTTAGTTCAAGTGGCTAAGTTAATTCTTGAGTCCTGTTGGTAGCATGGCAGGTTAATTATGAGTGTATTATTGATTATGTAAACTCTTATTGACAAAGTAGAAGAGGTCTGGGGAAGCTGGGGAATGCTTTCAGCTCATGGGTCCCTTTCTTAATCAATTAACTATTGATTCCTAGGCCTGGTTCAGCCAAATTAAATCGGAATCCTTAGAGGTGAGACGTAGGCATCAGTACTTTTTAAAGCTCCTCAGATAATTTTAAAGTTCAGTCAAGGTTAAGAACTACTGTTGTATTTACTGTGTCCCAGAAACAATTAGATCCTGTGAAAGTTTTCAGTGAGTACATCTTTGCCTACAACTTTCAATAGTATTCACAATTTAATACAACACAACAGTTGTTGAGTGCCTATGAGATGTACTGAACTATGCTAATTGCTGTAGGGATGACCCTGAAATAAACCAGAAATTATCCAGCCCTTAAGGAACTTATAATACAACAGGAGGATAAAGAATAGTAAACTGTGGTACAAAAGAAGCATAAAGAAGGATATCAAGGTACAAACAAAATGCTACAGGAACACAGGCTGTGAAGAAATTAAATCCTTAAGCAAAAGCTTCACTGAACATTATCTGATACTGAAATTCAGATAACTACCGATGTTGAAACAGGGAGAGAAAGAAAAACTAACATATTCATTTTACCTGGCAGTACCAGTAAGCTCAATGACTTTTTGCCTTTTCAAATCAGCTTCATGCGTGGCTGCTTCACATTTCTCCTCCATTTTTCTCAACTTTTCAGCTGAACTTTCCCTTTGTTTTTGAAGCTCTTGTTCCAGTTTTGATACCTTGTAAAACAATTTTCATTAAGTATTTTAAGTTCAGTCACAGCTTAACATTCTTTGGAAGAAAAATATATATTTATATAAATATGTGGTCTAGCCTATAATTCAGTTTCAAGATGTATTATAAAACTCAAAGTACACACCAGGAAATAATGTTCTGGAAATAAAAAAGCAAAACTAAACTTTGTATATTAAAGATATTTCATTCATATTACATATTTATAGAAGAAGTCACATCATAACACTAACATAGGATTTATAAGAATTGAACAAAATAATGGTTAATTTTCCTCTTTTCATTATCCCTATTTGAAATGTTTCTTCTCTTGTCAAACTATTTTGCTTTCCTTCTTCACAAATTGGCTCATTTAGTGAAAGATTTCTAGATTCTCAACTGCCATCAAACGTTATCACTTGAATTTGCTTCTATTCATTATTTCTTATGTTCCCCTACAGTGAAGGAGGTATTCTTCCTCCTATATAACTCAAATTGCTTCACTCGTGTTCTGGAATCACTTTCTCAGGAAACTATCCACTTTCTCAGGAACTCATACTATTGACTATCTCTGCTCTCTCCTCTGGGCTTCTTTGTATTAGCATTTAAACACGTTCAAGACATTCCCATCACAAAAAAAACTATCCTTCAGGGGCACCTGGGTGGCTCAGTCAGTTAAGCTTTCAACTCTTGATTTTGACTCAGGTCATGATCTCACAGTTCATGAGTTCAAGCCCCACACTAGGCTCTGCACTGACAGCCCAGATTCTGTCTCCCTCTCTGTCCTTCCCCCACTTGCTCTCTATCTCTCAAAATAAATAAAAATAAACTTTTAAAAATTATTTAAAAAAACTATCCTTCATATCTCTACCTCCCTCCAACTACCACTGCTCTTTCTTTCCTCCTCTCCAAAGCCCAATTTCTCAGTTTTCCATGCTTACTGTATCATCTTCTCATTTCTCATTCATTCCTCAACCCGAAGAAATCATTTTTTTTTCAACCCAAAGCAACCTAGCCATTCTACAGAAACCGTGCAATGTCACTAATAACATCCATGTTGGTATTTCCAGTAGACATTTCTCAACCATTATTTTATTTGATCTTGATTTCAACGGCCCATGACACCAATTATCATTCCTTATTTCATGAAATACTTACTTTGGTTTCTATGTACCATATCTCACAGAGATCTATCTAAGTCAATCTTCTCACCCATCATTCTGTATTTTCTCCCTAATTAATTTCAGCCACTCCATGTTTTCAAAGAACATTTACAAAACTGCTCTTCAAATTAATATCTGGCTAATGATTTTAATATCCTCTCGCCTCTTCTAAAACCTCTCACCAAATAACTAAATACAAATTCTAAGTCATTAATATCCACACTTCCAACTCAAGTTCCAAGAATAAAATTAAAATAGTAGCCAGGTAAAAAGTAAAGGGAACCATTGAAAACCTACCCACTCTCTGTTTTATTAAATAGCCCACTCATAAGCAGAAAGAATCTAAAGATGAGTAATAATCTGAAAGGATCCAACATGGAATCTATGCATAGTGGAACATGAATGAAAGGTAGAAAGAGAATACTTTATAGTGGAAAATTTACTTCAAATACTAGAGAAATTTTTAGATTTTTTAGAAATTTAGATCACATGTCCTGATCCAAAAACAAGATTGAATAAAGAAGTCTAAATTATAACTAAGTTCTCTGGATGGCAAAAATGTGCCTATGCTATTAGAGATGCAGGTCAGAATACACAGAAATAGAACTTTATTCATCTTACAATATTAATACAGAATATTTCTTATAATATGAAATCCTTGACGTAAATAGCAACCAATAAAACAAAAAAGCTATTATCAATTTTTAAAATTTATATTTTATACAAGTAAAACCATTTTGGCCAATAATATATACCTGTTTTTCAAGTTTAGTTTGAATGTCTTCTAGCTCTCCATTTCTAATTGTCTCTTGTTGTAACATTTGCTGCTGCTGCTGAAGAGTATGCTGTAGAATAACATTCTGCTCAGCAGTCTCTTGAAGACTGTGATTTTTTATCTTTAGTTCTTTTTGTAAACAGTATACCTAACAAATATATACATTTCTCATTAAAATGACATGTTTCAAATAGAAAGCAATATAATGTCCAAGCTGTGTTCCTTATTATCTTCACTTGTCATGTGGGACAATTATATTTAAGTTTGTTATATGGAAGGGCAGGTTCATTTTTCTGATGGGAGGATGTTAGAAGGGCCTGCTTATAGAGCCAGCTCTTGGCTGGTATCTGGGAATGTGGCTTTTGAAACATTCCCTAAGTGATGAGATTGTTTTGCTTGGCTCTGGCACTGAATCATGCTTTCCTCCTGGGAGTTTGTAATTTTAATACTTGTGACTGTCCTAGGTGACCAGCCCCCCATAAAAAAAAACCCTGAACTTTAAGTCACAAACAGGCTTCTCTGGGCAGAAACACTGCCCACATATTACCATATTTCACTGCTACAGAAAGGAACATGTTTTATGTGATCCCTCCCAGAGAAGGCAGAGAACACAGAAAGGTATGGATTTTTCCATACTCTGTCTGATGAATCTTTTCTCCTTACTGATAATAAACTATAGCCATAAAAGACCTGCATAAATGTTAGGTGCTATTTATTTATTGTATTATTGTTGCTACTATTGCTGTTGTTTGTAAAATGGTATCTCAGCAAAGCACTCAAATATTCATGCTCCAAAAAATACATAAGGAAATGACAGTATCAATTAAGAAATTGTATTCATTTACTCCACATATTTAGGACTTGAATATGCTGGTCCCTAAAACTGCTTTAAAAGATACCTTTAAAATTATCTGGAAGTACCTAATAAGAAAGGAAAAAAAAATTGCTTTGTCCTAGTAATCCAAATCCAATAAATATGCCAAATTATTTTTAAAATCATACTAATAATACAGCATATTTTAATATGTATAATATTCCTTACCTGTTCTCAAAAGTAAGAGGTTTAATAAATGATGATTTATCAACCTGATTTCAAATGATGCAACCATTTAATATCATAATTTAAAAGACAGTAGCAAATATAATATTTTACAAAATGAAATTAAGTGAAAAAAATAGAATTATGTTTCATTGACATAATTATGAAAAACATGCAAGTAACTAGAAAACTGAAAACTTAAGTATTAGAAAGTAGATTGTAGGTAAACCTTTAAAAGATTTCTTATTGTTGCTTACCCAAAACTATTTTTAACATGAAGGAAAATAAAAACCATTCCTTTAAAGCAAAAAAATCTTTCCAGTAAGTATTCCAGAAGAAAGGAATTTTAAACTTCTAAGAAATAGCGGAGGAAAACAATGATTTGGTCCTTTTTTCTAATTATCCAGCAATTGAACATTCAGCAGCATGATGAAGGGCTTAGGGGCCAAATATTCTTTGTTCATGATAAGAAACCCTTAAATGTCACATTTCTTCATTATCTAATGATACTGTAAACTTGGAGAACCTTATGCAACTAACCAATTTGTTACTCTGTTATTATAGTTCTTTTTTATGATAATCTACTTAATTGTGTCTGTATGAAAATAATTTATTTAGGGCAAACATGTATCAGTATCACCTGTTTGTTTTACTTGCTAGCTCCCGAGAAAACTGCAGATCACATTTAGTGCAGTAGTTTATTTTCTATAGAACTGATTTGCCTGCAAGAGAAGTTTAAATAGTATTTTTTCTAAAACATCCTGTCTTAGACTTCTTTTTCTGGTCAGAGAAAAAAGTGGATAAGATGTTAAGATAAGACAAAGGTAAGATAAGACAAAACAGAAGAAAAGAAGGTAAATCTTAACCAAAACGCCAAGAAAGCCATACCACATAATAACAATAAAAATTTATTTCAGTAATCTGGCCACTGGAAAAATAATTTCAATTAAAAATATTGAATATCTGTTAGTTTTATCACAAATATCAATTCACAAAAATCAACCTGCATCTACCCAACTTAAAGTGGCATTTTATTGTACTACCCTTTAATTTCCATTTGACTTTAAAATATAAGAAATAGTTTTTCATTATATTTTCTTCTACATTATGATATTCGGAGAATCAAGTATTCCTAAAGGATTCACTATTTTATAACTGGGGGCAAGAAGAAAGTAGAATTTATACTATAAAATCTACTTTACAATGAACTTTATCTAGATTAATCTATATCCAAAGGAAAAACACTCACAATTATTACTTAAAAATAAAACATAACCCAGGGGCGCCTGGGTGGCTCAGTAGGTTCAGCTTCCAGCTTAGGCTCAGGTCGTAATCTCATGGTTTGTGAGTTCAGTCCCCCCATTGGGTGGTGCTCTCTGTTGTCAATGCAGACCCCACTCTAGATCCTCTTTTCCTCTCTCTCTGCCCCTTGTCCACTCACGCTCTCTCTCAAAAACAGATAATTAAAAAAAATAATTAAAACATAACCCAGAAAAGTTACTGATATGATATGATGATGCCAAATCCTCAAAATTTAAGTCCATCAATGAGAGTAAAAATATCAATAAAATAACTGATTTTATTTGAAGAAATGCTATATGCAAAAATGTTTAGACTTACTCACATCTGTTTTGTGTTTACTTTCTCCTATCATATTCACAGTGTAATTCTGCATCAACACACATTTTTACCACTTTGTAAAGCATTTTAATATGGAATTAAAATCTTTTCAAAATGATTTAGAACCCCAAATTACTATTATTTTAATCATAAATGTACTTACTTCAATATCTGGAAAATAGTATATACCTGAGACAAAAATCTCAGAGGAGTTTTTATTATCTTTCTGTGGTGGATAATCAACATTTAGTTTTTACAACTGGCTAACTTCTTCTCAATATGCTCTAGAGCCACTCAATTATTCAGCTAGTGTGTGATTTAAAGATTACTAATTTTTTTTTTTTTAATTTTTTTTTTCAACGTTTATTTATTTTGGGGACAGAGAGAGACAGAGCATGAACGGGGGAGGGGCAGAGAGAGAGGGAGACACAGAATCGGAAACAGGCTCCAGGCTCCGAGCCATCAGCCCAGAGCCCGACGCGGGGCTCGAACTCACGGACCGCGAGATCGTGACCTGGCTGAAGTCGGACGCTTAACCGACTGCGCCACCCAGGCGCCCCAAAGATTACTAATTTAATCTGATTAAAAAGATCTAAAAGATTAAAACACCTTTATAACATCACTATTATTAACAGAATGGATGTACTGTGAACCAAATCCAATTTTCTAAAACCTAGCTATATATGATGAAAATCTCACAATTCTGATAAATTACAGTTGGCTCTTGAACAATATGAGTTTGAACTGCATAGGTCCACTTATGCAGCTGTTTTACAGTAGAGTTCTGCAAATATATTTTCTCTTTCTTATGATTTTCTTAATCACATTTTCTTTTCTCTATCCTACTTTACTGTAAGAATACAGTATATAATACATATAACATAGAAAATCTGTGTTAATCCCATGTTTATGCTATGGTAAGGCTTCTGGTCAACAGTAGGCTATTTGTAGTTAAGTTTTTGGGAAGTCAAAGGTTATATGGGGATCTTCAACTACATGGAGGGGGGATCAGTGCCTCTAACCTCTGCGTTGTTCAAGGACAACTGTAATTAACTGTAATATTAACTAGAATGACATTAAAATTTGCTCTAAAGACAAATAACTCAAAAGTAAATAAATGTATGGGGTGGTACTTAAAAAAACAAAGTAAATAGTAATTGGATTTTTTCCATGTTTTTTATCAGAAGGACTGAACGATAACCTGTTAAGTAAGCCAATTCATGTGCACTGAGGTAATAATTCAGCAGCAATAAAAGGTGAAAATCTTTCTAACTTACTTACTTATGCCCTAGTATAGTTGTACATATTTTACTACTTCTGATTTCTAATTCAGTATGGAGCCTAGGTTTATATTGCCAGCCATTTTGAAAATAATTCTGTTCATTTTAGATAACTGTCTATTATCCACCCTACTCACTGATTCGGTTTCTGAGAACACAAAGTCTAAAGCTCAACAAATCCCCTTGTTATAAACACTGCCTGTCTCCAGATTCCATCTCTGTCAAGTCCATTTACACTGAAGTATAATGAAGGCTATCGAATAAATGTCTAAATAATGTTTTAAAGAAGTTCACAGTAAAATAAAAATAACATTTCTATTTTAAGAAGTCAAAGTATCTATAGTTTAGGCAATTCAAATTCCATATACTGCAGTGGAGAAATACATGCCTATCTGTCAAAGATGCCATAAAAGCCTTCATGGAGGGGCATGGAAGGAAGAAGGCAGGACCATATAAAATATGAAGATTTCCTTTTTTAACCTCTAAACTTATATAATTATGTGATATACCTAAGTGTGGAGTGCTGGTCAACTATATACCTGTTTTTAGATCTGTTGTCTGCTTTCCCCCTGCTCTGCTCCATGTTTTGCAGGAAATTCCCCTCTGTGTAATAGAAACATTTAGCCAATGTGAGGGACCTGTAGCAGTTCTCTTCCTCTACAGTCTCAGCTTCAACTAGACAGACTCCTTCTTTGTGGCCCTAGCTCACTAGGCAGTCCTACTTCTGTACTATAGTCCACCATTTCTGCCTGATATTCCTCTATCCCTGATGATGGTAGTAGGTCCTTTCTCTTTTCTTTTTTAATTTTTTTAAATGTTTATTTATTTTAGAGAGCGAGATGGAGAGAGAAAGAGGGAGGGAGGGAGAGAGATGAGCAGGAGCAGGGGAGGGGCAGATAGAGAAGGAGATACAGAATCTGAAGCAAGCCCCAGGCTCTGGGCTGTCAGTGCAGAGCCTGACACGGGGGCTCGAACTCATGAACTGTGAGATCATGACCCAAGCTGAAGTCAGACGCTTAATGCTTAACTGACTGAGCCACCAAGGCGCCCCATAGTAGGTCCTTTCTTATGATAATCTCTGAGTCACTTTACCATGCTTTGTTTGCTTCTCCCCTCTTCCATGATATATGTTTCTAATTCTCTGCATAAAATTCTATTTTAATGATACACAAAGGATTCTGTTTTTCTGGCTGAAACTGGCTGAATATA